TATTTTTGGGGGGTTATATAGTACTGTGAAATTTTATCACATGTCAAGATTCATACAATACCCACCACAATCAGGATACAGAACGGTTCTGTCACCACGAAGAAAGCGCCCTGTGCACTGCCTCTCCTGAGCTTAACCCCTGGCAACCACACGTATGTTCTCCATCAGAATAATTCTGTCATCTCAAAACCGTTATGTTCCATTTACTTTTCACTCTCTCAAATTGCAAACCAATATTTTGCAACTTTGAGAATGACCTGGTTTGACAGAATTAATGACAAACAGGTGAAAAGGACCACTCTGCATGGCATCCTAATGATTCCAAAGGCTTGCTATGCTCCCCTTGGCCCTGGACAGGATGCGGCACAGGTATGGTTTCAAAGCATACAGCTACGAAGGGTATACACTAAGTAACTAACATATGCATTAAGACTTAAAGAAAAGGTGGCCCCATGAATAGAATCAGAGGGGATTAGAATCTCAACACCTTTATGCCCACAAAACAAGACAGTGAGTTCTGAGGTACACACAGGAAATGTCTAGTGTGGCGTATGTTGCTAACTCAGCAAGAGTACAAATATTCAGTAGATGTGGCCTACCTATGGGAAGGGTTTTGTCTTGACCAGCATTATTTTTGCCTTAGAACCTGAAAGAGTGCCTGGAGGACAGTACTTAATGAATATTTGTTGGATGGGTAGATGGATTTCCTATGCTGGTATTTAGTCTTTCCATTATTTAAATACCATTGTTACTGGCGGCGTTTCCATATTACTTATATTATTAAATTTGAAGTTGGGTGTTGACAAGAAATACTGCATTAATTCTCTAAGATTCATGGATAAAATAGTAGAGCTAAGTGGTTTTAACAAAGACATAAAACTACTGCGTTTTTGGAGGTCTATCAAACTTTTTGAGACAAAAAAAAGGATCACCTTGGAAATTCCTAATGCAAAGTAACAAATTAATTAGTATTCTAGTGGCCTTACCCCAAACACATCAATTATTCTCTAGCTGGCAATTAGCTCTCTACTGACTGATAGGAACAAGCCTGATATCTTGAATTACTATAAAAAATGGCTGGAGGATGAGACAGGGAGGCTGGGACAATATTGGTGTGAGAGGCAGGAAGAAAAATGGACGGGATCCAAAATTTTAGTCAATATCTTGGTATGGTCTTGGAGGTATCTGATGGGCTTAACAAGCCCTTGTTCTGGGAGCTGGTTTGTACTGTGTCTCATACTACAGATAAACCAGCTCAACACACCATAAATACAAAATCAACTGGCAAGTCTGTAGCCATGGGGTTTTCTGATTTACCAACTCCCTGATTTGAAAAATTTGAAATGAATGTACATTTTGAAACCCACAAGACCACCATTTATTTAACTACTATATACAAAAATCAAGTCAGAGGAATGAGAGAACTTCTAGTTTCCATGGGCAAGCTGACCCAGAAACATGCTGCCCAGTCAACCATGTCCGCTCCTGTGCTACAACTCACAGAGGTCAAATGGGGTGGCTCAAGCCTGCACACAAGGCGCTGTCATGTTCTTGCAGTAAAGAGAAATCATGGCTTTCTGGTACTCGAAGGTGAACTCAACAGACTCCTCCAAGCACGAATGTATCTTTGCAGAGGAGAACTTTGAGAATCATCACAGAAAGTGGGAAATCACAGCACGGCCCATGACGGAACAAGAGAGAATCAGGGTGCTGTTTCCGTGACTAAAAGCACTTAGAAGGACTTACTGACTCCCCTAAAAATGTGGCCTATGGTATCTCTCCATGAACCAAGGGCACTACTGCAATATCAGCTGAATATCTAGAGTGTTCAGACTTGCATACTTTTCCTTCTTCACCTTTCATTTGCTCCTTTTCAACATCAGCACAGTCCGCAAAGAGGAATGACAATGAACTTACATGGAGCACTGACGTGCTACTTGCCACGCTCTACTCTGTTCACTGTACAAATTGTACAGCAAGGAAATGACTATCAAAGATGTTCCATGCATTTCTCCAGTTCTCGCTTGGCATTCTTTTTGCTTTGTCTCAGAGGGTGGTGGGGAGAGAAAGGCTCACTTTAATCTGGAGTATTAAAGTTGTATTAATCCAGCTCCCCGAAAGGAAAAAGCTGAAAGGAGTGGGACTGAGGTCCGCTAGTTGTACTGCACCTCATCTAGAACCCAACCCAAGGCAAAGCCCAACACCTCCAGAACAAGGCAAGAAGAACAAAATGAGAAAACACAACCAACCACCCAAAAGACATGTAAGTGACTATCTCCCAAAGGAAGGTCTGGGTGTCTCAGTAGCTGCACCAGGACTGGGTTGTGGACGATTTGTGGAGCAGGGGAAATGTGGGTGCAATGGAGTCCTGCATTTTTCGCTCCGGGGAGTGGCCAGCGTGGAGAGCTTCTCCCCACCTAAGTCCTATCTATGTGGCCCCCTTGCTCTGGGCTCACCGCACCTTCTGCATTTGACATTGGCTTAGGGGAAACAGCCACTCCTGTTCCTGTAGAAATGTGGCACAGAGCGGTAGGACCGGTACGTCCTTTCGTGTTGATTCTTGTCACATTCTAAGAAAAGGTAATAGAAGAGTCTCTGAATGGAACCGTGCTTTCCATCGAAGCATCTGATATTCTGAAGAGAAACTTGGATGGGCTATGGGGGAGAGAGGCTTGCAGTGGATTATTCCATTAATTTAAGCTTTTACAAAGAAACACCAAGGTCTGAACAAATTTATACTGCAGAGTAAATTCAGAGAGTTAATTATAGCTATAATTTGTTTTGTAGGAATGATTTTGAGTGGCTGCTGAGGTCATTCTCAGGGTGTTGCTATGGTGACAGGCACAAGGTACATTTCCAAGGCGATGTATGTGTCACAAGTGGCCGGCAGTAGCTCTCTCCTGATGTCAGGGAGAGAAATCTCCCATGGTCTACCTGGGACTTATTTAACTGTCTAGGAGACAAGGCATGTTTAAGAGTGTGCTAGAAAATGGGAGGTTTAGTTGATGAATCTGTACTCGAATCCATCCATGGGGACTGAATAACTTGCTGCTGCTTTGAGACTTTTGTAATTGATAACTTGGTAACTGATTAAAAAAAAAAAACCCTCAGTATTTTCCCACATGTGTTTGCCCAGTCAGGACTCTCTCATACTCGGTGGAGTCAGGGACCATGAGTACCTTTGTTTGTGTTTGGTCACCCACACTCAGCCGAGGGCCTAGAACACAGCAGGTGCTCAACACGTGACCCAAATTAAGATAATTTTGTAGAAAATGTGGTAGTGGTTATGACGGCAGGTTATACCTTCTAGAAGAAAATATAGGAGTAAGGGGGTTGTTAGCTACCTGCCTTTATGTAATTACCTCGCTGGGCTATTACTGGCCTGATTATGTAAGAACTAAATTCTGAATTTAAATGCCTCTGACGAATGTAGAGACAACACAGAGAGGAAAGGCATCTTTTAACTTCATTTAGCAGATATGCTTCCTGCTCTTCCTCAGGTCCTGGCCCCAGAATGAAATGATTTGTCTGTCTGTTTCATGCTTGTCAATATCAAGCTTTCAGGCCTTGGAATTCCCCCTAGCCCTGGGCAAATGGAAAAAAAACCTTATTGACAGGCAATTCTGACATACTCTCTTTAATGGAAGAAACAGGTTTCTGATGGTTTTCAGTGAAAAGAAAGGCAACAGGAAAATTCATGTAGTAAGATTTCAATCGTTGCTTTCCAATCATGAGAAAACTGCAGGGTCATCTAGAACTCACGATACAGTTTGACTACGACATTCTCATAGGTGCTAAGGCTATGGGTGAGATTCCCCATGATACAATCCCTGTCTGCAAAGGACTCTACCAACGTGTGGCAAAAAAAGGGTTATATGAAAAGGAGAAATGGTAAAGTTCATTAGGGATAGAAAGAACATCTGTATATTTTGGCAGAGTCCTTTTCTGGGAACTTGTTTGAACTGTCTCTAATCCTTGGTGATTATCCACAAAAAAATCCTTCTGTAGTATAAGTGATTTGATTAAGG